GCAACTACAGAGGTCGTGAAGAATTCACCATCTATTCATAAATCGTTGAGGTGTAGGTTTTCGCCGAAGGTGCAAGCGCATTACTCATTCCACATCGTCTTCGTTTGTTACGTTGAATTCTGCTGTCAATTCATAAACAGCTGTAATAGCTTTTGTGTTCCTGGCGGGTTACCACAATTTCGGTGCATCTCGTTAGTGGCAGCGTCGCAACGACAGAAGACTTGGACGTGTTTTCAAGCTTCATATCTGGTTGCTCCCTCATGGCCTCGTTACAAGCGCCTGTTTCCGATGATTCCTTCGTGATGATCGACACTTCTATGGCGTATGATGAGAAGGTCCTATACACAGGTCCAGCACTGTGTTCGGTGATAACTGCATTTTGCGCAACTGCGTTCTACCTCTCCTCTCCAATCTTTCTGGAGACATCGAACTTCGAATAGCAATGAGATGAGAGGGTCCAACGATTCCATCCTTCCTTTTCACGGCGCTTGCTATTGCTATTATTGTGAATTCCGAGTTTTCATTTTCATTGCGGACCCCATACTAAACGCATCTCCCGATCATTTAATCATTTATCATAAGAAATTCATAGTATTTCCCTTTTTTCTATCGCTCATGAAGTGAGCATCTTTCGTGAACGAAGATGTGTTTTGACAGCAGTGGAACATGAAAGGAGAGAAAAACCAATCCAATAAAAACACTGCATAGAAACGATTTCATGACACACCATGTGGGTCACGCGATCCGGAACGTGCTCAATCAAAGTTCGTTCTTCAAACAACGAACTTCGATAGATGTGACTGACTGATGACTAGTTCGACTCCTCCCGTCCACATCTTATGTCGTTTTGTACAACTTCAACTTTATTTCAAAGTTTCCGCATTTTTGGGCTGCCACGCGAAACCCACTATGTGAAGTGACACACTCCACCCACTCTGTAGGAGCCCTTACTTTCGCGAAATGCCTCAAATTAGCCAGTTAGAGCATCAACTGATAGTCCAGATTCTCTTTGATCAGTGAGAACAAAAAAAAAACAGGAAAGTTTTGTCCCGAGTAACGAAGGACTCTGACATTTTAGATGAGGCCACGGCACGACATCGCGTTGTTTGAAATTTCTGCTAAAATCGACCGCCAGCCCTGAAAGAGAATCTCGGTACGACCCCGTATCTAATTCGCGGTATCGTTTCAAGTGAAGCGGAGCGGATGCGCAAAATGCCTCTCCCGAACAGAACAACGCCTAGAAAGTGAAAAAATTTAGATACCTTCCTATAACTATTTCAGGAACGTACGCACCATGGAACTCGCAGAACACTTTGTTTCATAAGAAAGCCTTTTTCACGCTTTTCTTGCCTACAACAGTGACGTTTCGGTAGGTTTGCCACATATATATCCTTGAACTGCTAGTGATGTCAATTATTAAGTACGACGGACATATGGCGGTCGTATGTAGCCCAAAAGCTTCTGCATATGATCGGAGAGACAGTGGCGTTCTATCCACCCAATGCTGTGCAATACAGAAATGCTCATGATTACTTGGCCGATTTCGAGGACGAAAGGTATACTTCTCTTCTGGAAACGCTAGGCGCAGCCTTCTGCAGAACAAACACCAATCCTTGTAGTGCTAAGTTGATG